AAGATTGTGAAAGTCAGATCCTCTCGCAACCGAGGTCCCGTATCGCAGTAGGTGCTGGCACGAAAAAGATCCATCAACGCTCAATGGCCCTGAGTGCCGAGTATAGGTCAAAATTTCCAGCTCTCCACCGGCAAATGGTGGCGTCTCCATATGAGTGAAAAATTATCGAGAGGGACAATAAAACAATAAACAAACAATCATACTGCTTTATTATTCTAAGCTTTATCTTAGAATTATAGAAAATCCGAAAACCGGAAGACTTGGCATTTAAATCATACAGCGTATTCTAGGGGGGTTAATATAACGAGAAGTTACTGTCCTTTAAAAAGGACTGCAATACGTGGACCATATGCATGTGTTTATAAACGAAATTCAAAGAAAATTTCTAGATTTTGTGATTATACAAAAGAGTAGTCGCCCTCGTGGCGCAGTGGTTAGAGCGTCTGCTCTAGAGTCGCGAAGTAAGGATTTGATCCTTACGTCGCGGGTTCGAATCCCACTGTGGGACGTAGAGACCGATCCTTCGGATGAGACCGTATAAACCGAGGTCCCGTGTCGAAGTAGGTGCTGGCACGATAAAGATCCCTCACTGCTCAATGGCCGTAAGTGCCGAGCATAGGACAAAATTTGCAGCTCTCCACCGGAAGTGGTGGCGTCTCCATATGAGTGAAAAATTCTCGAGAGGGACGTTAAACAACATACAAACAAACAAAAGTGTAATTAAATTATTTTTTTTACATATATCTTTTAATTTTCATCGTTATTTAAGTCTGCTTAATTAGGCTGTAATGATAGAAAAATCATGACCTCGAAATGATATATGAATATGAAATGTTGATCTTCCAGGCATCTATCATAATTGTAATGTAGACTTTAGAATTAACAACAGAATTAAAAGAGGCTTAAGCGTGCAGGTATCATAATGGTTGAATTATAACTCCATTGGCGGATCCAGGGAGGGGTGTTTTTCGGACGTTGGAACCCCCTTTATTTTTGCAGAAAGAGGAAGAGAGAAAGTTTTTTTCCGTAATATAGATATTTTTACGTCTAGTATTTTCAAAAAATACGTACTTCAGTCTTTGCCATTTCTGCTTTCTAGATAGAGTTTTGCTTATTGCTTTCCTGCCCCGGCCTCGACCACCCACACGTAACATGAAAGATTTCACTTTGATATCATCGGAAGATTCCGGTGAACGTACGGCTATGCCATTTTTGGACCATCTTCTGAAGTAACTAAAAAGTCATGAAAGGGAGTATGCGTAAGAGAATATTTCTCTCCTTATTACTATGGGGATATTTTAATCAATGAAGAGAAAGGTTCAAAATATCCCCGTAGTATGTGGGGGAGGAGGCTCACTTTTTCTAACAAAAATAATCTTTTGTTATAATTTAATTTTAATATACAAGTTTTGATTTGCATTGGAAGCTCCCCCGCACTCTTTGTTGCGGGAAGGTTCAAAATATAGAAAATCAAACACTTTAAAGAAATCAAAATGTACCGAAAAATTAGACGAAGTCCCCCCCCCCCCCCTCAAATAGGATTTTACAGTGTGGTGCACAGGTTGTTATTTTTATTTTATTTATTTATTTTGCTTGTCAGCTCTTTTTGGAGGCTGCCCCTTTTGAAAACCGCTGCTACGGGCTTGAATGTATCTTCGGTGTGACCTAGACCCCTCCCCCCCCCCCCCCCCACTGGATCCGACCTTGTACTCGAGCACTAGAGGGTTATCTAAAACGATGCTAGGTTATCGATTAACTCGATCAATTTAAAAACACAAAAAAGATCGATTTTGTGGGTTTTTCTCTCTGTCTCTTTTCAAATAACGGAATGTTTAATATATATAAAGCCTGCAATCGTAACTTTTCGGAAAAACAACGTGTTTTTCCGAGCTCGCCAGAAAGGTCGGAGAAGATGCGATTGACAATCTCATCGCACGTGTGTAGACCTAGGCTATTTGGTCTTGCAAGCACAGGTGTGTGCACTGTTTGCTAGTGACGCTTAGACTGGTAATGGTATCTGCTACGGACATGAAGAACTATACATCAGTTTCATAACATGTGCAGTTTTTTTCTAGTGAAATTCGAGTAAATTAAAAGTCGAATATCTTGGATATGGGGTAACCCATATCTATTCTTGTTACAACGACCGTCAATGCATCCAATCGAAGAGTTCATTGGTTACTCTGAAAGGTGGCACAGGTTAACCTTTCGTTAACATTTTCTACTGCAATGATCTGCTTACTTTGAGTGATAGCACTTTCATAGCAAAATTGTTAAATTTTATCCCCGATTGACCTATAGTTTTATCATTAAAAAAATCGGGCTATTTCGATACATGCAAACCATAACGGCTGGGACTTGACATCTGTACTAGTTTTATACGGAAGATATTCTATCATTGGAAAGATAGATGCATGGTACTCGTGCAGCACACACTGCATGAAAATTTGGCTTTACAAAACAAGTAAAGATAATGTAAATTTATTATTTACAATGCCTTTAATTGGCTTTTCTGAAAAAAGTCAAAGTTGGAAAAGGTAACCTTTACATTAACTTTACATGCACTTAAATATGATGTAATGTCCCACTTTTTCTTGACTTTACAAAAAAGTAAAGTTAATATTTACAAACATTAAACACAGTATTTGGGGTTCATTAAAGCTGATAATTACAAATCTTAAATTTAATTAAATACCATCTTTAATAGCCACAAAAGTTAATAATTACTTTTTCCATTCTTCTGAATAAAGCTTGTGCATATAATAAATAAGCTTTTCCTTCCAAATTGAAACTGCAAAAGAAGTCTGGACATCATACTTAATATACAAAGTAACAACAGATTGACTTAAACTTTCTTTATTACTATACCAAACATTTTTATACAAACATATAATCAAAAACATCAAATTTCTTGACAGTATCTGTTGTTCATAGTCTATCCTGCAAATCCAATACACATAAATAAGTATCCAGGACAGAGTACATTTCACCAAAATCCTTTTCAAACATGTCATTTTGTTTCGTATAAAGAACCAATTGTTCATCCTTGAATTTAAAGATTTGAATTGACATGAAACTGTGCTCTGCTTTCTTGTTACTGAACATGCATTTCTGTGGAAATCAACAACTGTCCAGATATATATTGTGTCACACCTTCCTTTTCAGAGTCCAAAACTTTTATTCTCATGCAGGCAGTCTTCTATTGTTTTCCTTCAAAGAAAAATATATATATATATTATGAGTGACATGAATATGAATATTTTCATAGGCATATGTGTTATAAATTCAAATAAACTGTGATATCAGTATTCACAGTATCATGACTAATGAAAATTGAAACAAGATGCAACCATATTAATAAATAAAAATTTCATACATGACCTTTAACCTCAAAAAGAAAATATTTTGAACCATTAATGTCAGCCTTTATTTTTACCAAAAAAACGATGCTAATCTTATTAAATAAGACAGATACAAACAGATGAACATGTTGTTGTTAACTTATTTTATAATATAAATGGACTGGGCCACTAGCCTTTATCTTACCCCTAAGATTAAAATTTAATAACTCTGTAATTTCTTTGTTTATCATTACCTAATATTTCTTTTGAAAGGATTATTTACAAAATATACTAATGTAGGAGTAATACATGTATAAGATTTCTTGTGACCTTCTGTAGATAAGATACTTTTGCAGAATTGGAAAATGTTTGTCTTACTTGCAAGATAATTTGTGAAAAAGTACTGGCATCAGTATCTATGGATAATTACTGAACACATATAATTAACTCCATTTTCCTTCTTAGTAATCAGGTAACAAAAGGACCAATAGTTGCTGCTTATCGAGCTATAGTATGATACTCTAGTTATGGTTTAGGATATATGTACCTTTCTCCAAGTAGCATGTTGCTGCTCATGAATTATTTCCTGATCTTGGAATTGTAAAAGTTGACAGGTCCCTCATTTTGAAGATAACATGCTAAAATGGAATTCATACTTTGATAAACATTTCATACATCTGGATAAATATAGTCAATGTTTTCATAAATACTTTGGAGTTTGAAGCATACCAAAGAATGATTTTAAAAATACACAATGCAATCACAGTTAATAATTATGAGTTGCCAAACACCCTTATGTTTGTTTTCTTCACAATTAAAGAATACTTTAGGTCTAAGCAATACTTGCCATCTATAAAATTAAACTATTGAACCCTTCTCAAGTGTTTCTTCTTCTTGAAAGATCTGTCAATAAGGTGTTAACTCTCTCACAGTAAGCTGAGTAGGTGGAGCCTGGAAAAAGTAGTAACACTTTTTTTGAAAACAGAAATGTATAATTATACTGACTCCCGAACAAGTCAAGCAATTGATAATGTAAATAATTGTTTAAGTAACATTTTAATGATACCATTTATTGATTTTTTTAAAACTAATACGTACAAGTACCGTCAAAAAACATTGGTATCCCTTGGTCTGGTAAATCATACATTGTTGTCATCCATGACTTTTTTCCTTCAAGAAACTGCATAATTGATTTCACTAGAACCTGTTTTTGAAAAATGGACATGGTTTAGAATACAAAATAATATCTTTAAAATATAACCTAACTTGCCCTCTATTAAGAACATTGCCCCTACCCTGGCTTCTATTTTTTTCTAGCATTAAGGGTTTGGTTTTGTGTTCATCCAAGTGAAACTCGTACGAAATAAAAATCTCAATATTTTAATAAATACTTCTTGCTTACTCTTGAAAACTGACCTATGACACCTTCCATTGGAAAGCTGTCTTGATATGTATGCAGTTTGATTGTCACTTGCAGTGTCATGCAGCAATAATGTGCATATTACACTTGCAGGACTGCACAGCTACAGGTCTAACAAAACAATAACATGACATTTGTTGTATATGTGCAGATAGTTGAACGTCATGGGTACAACCATTTGTTTCGTTCCTAGCAATACTGTGCGTACTTTTTCCATAACTGTCTGTTTTTCATCAACTAGGCATGTCCGCCATGCGAAATCGGGGGGCTGCCATTCCGGTATTGAAACCAACTGACTATTTCTGTAATCTGATGTCTCTAGTACCTCGATTACACAAAGCAATTAGAGAGATATTTCGTTAAACATCTCCAGCTATTAGAATGTTTCGATCTAAATGTTTAATATTGTTTATTATAAAAGTAACATCGATGTTTACGTCATATCAGGGAATGCTCCGTCTTCGATTTTACAATGGACAGATAAATTAATACGCGCCCAGTTTTAGCAGTTCCGACTGAATTTAACGTCTGTTATTTCTTTTGCAGGTAAGGCTGTTAATTACCTTTTATCAAATAAGCACATTAATCCTACAAATGTAGGACAATGTCATATAATATTGAAAAATATTGCACGAAAATTAAGAACTATAATCACTCAGCGTAGTTTATTTCTGAGGTCTGTCATGCGATATTCGGCTAAAGTGAAAGTAGGAGCTGGTAAGTCGATTTGTTGTGTTTATTGTGATTTATGAGCCTTATCTCAGAAATACGATATAACTCCTAGTATCAGTAATACATTTTGAGTATGACAACGCCTGCGATCTAATGCACATCAATTTTAAAAAGGTTAAACGTTATACAAAGGATCTGAGAATTTCCACGTGTTTCTTGCAGACCACAATTTGGTAGCGGGCAATATTTAAGGTTCCTCTAATAAATGTTACTATGTTTCAAAATACTAAAAGTATTCGTCATTGTATAAAAATATAGTTCAGTCAAAAACAGGGTTTCAAATATTATGAGTAGAGTAAAGAACTGAATTTTGTTTTCATTAATGAGCGATTTTTGTGTAAGATCCTTCATTGAGCCTCAGACACACCAAGTTAAATGTCCAATGACGGCTAAGTGAAGTGGCTCTACGTAGTACACATATATGGTAAATCAGATGTGTTATTTGTAAATCAAAATTTTGATATTCAAATTTTATTGCTTTTTTGTTTTACTTTTTGTAAAAGAGATGCAAGTATTATTGATTATTTATATAAATAATTTTCACATAAGTTTGTACTATGTATACAAACCATCATTTTGGACTTGGACCTTCTGATTTGCAGATTAGTGCAGTATATGTAGTTCTCATGGGGAAAAGTAAATTAAACGATAAAAATTTTCAAGGATGTCAACTTAATTTGCTTATTGCTTGATATGTAAATTGTTCAATGTTCATCAAATGAAGAGACTGCAGCAAAATTGAAAAATAGGTTTTTTTAAAGATGAAAATTGCATAAAGTATTAATAATTAATATTCTCTAGTTGAAATGGTTAAGATTGAAAACTTGAATTTCTGCAACGGCATTGGTTTCATCAAAAAGGGAGTATAATAAGGGGGTCTTACCTGATCTTAAGTTACCATTGAGCATGCTGAATCAAATGCTACCAAGCATGTTTATTTTTAATTGAATGTTCATTTTATGAAAGTTTTTCATATGCTCAATTAGACTTAGGTTGTTGGTTGCACTTGTAAGGAAGAGATAAGGTGCTGGGGGTGGGGTGGGGGGTAAACCTTGGTATTGATCCATAAATACCATAATATTCTTGTAGAAACCTCTAAGATTTTTTGTATAAAATTGAAAAAAAAATGAATGTACATGTAGCCACCACTTTATCTCAAAGGTTATTATTATTTTTTTTTTTGGAGGACCTGCATTTTAATGGTACAGGCAAACCTTGTTACATTGTATTTCTATCCTGATGGGACCAATAAAAAAAATTAAGAAATCTGGTATAGTTTGACACATTGAGGTTAAAATGCTTAAAGAAAAAAATGGAAGAGACTTTAAATGAAATATGAAGATAACAAACAATAATCAAATTCAAATTCACATAATTTTGAGAGATGGAAGCAAAACTCTATTCTTATAATGTCTCATAGAACAAAAGTTTTAACGGACACAGTTTCAGGAAATAAATACCATTCAGTTAAAACACTGACACCCTTCAACATGTTCAACAAAGATTAATATTAATATCTAGACTTAAAAGAATTGTTTTTGAACTTTTTTCCTAAAATTTATTATAACTATGTTTACCATGTTTACAGAATGCCTTGTTTCACAAAAAAGAACACTGTTCAGATATTTTCTCTGGACTGTCAATTTCTGCATTTCATAATCATGTGATACCTGTGTTGGAGCCCTCCCAAAAACCTCCCCTGTAAAGTAAGTTTTTTATCACAATGGAATGATTCTGTAAATTTAATAGACATGTGTATAAGGGTATAAGGTAGGTGTTATAATCACAGTGAGCTGACTAGTCATTTCATTTTGTATGATTGGATTCAGATGTTATTCTATGTGTACAGAATGAAAGAATGTACAATTTTTATGATGAGAAATATATATGCGGTTGGATGAAAAGAAAGATTTTGTCTGTGTGAATGTGGTGTATGTGTCCATCACATTGTCTCAAGCCATGGTTGGAGTCCGCCTACAGCTCTCTCCTACCCGAGGCTGCTTGAGCGAATTAAGTATCGTTATCATGAATAATCAAACCTTATGTGTGATGTCACATTATAACCCAATAAAAGTAATTGTTTATATTGCAGTTGACTTTAACGATAAAAAAACAAATGTTAGGTAAACAGTGACTGAAAAAAGAAGTCACATCAGAGGTTATTTTTAAATAATTGAAAACTTCAATCTCTTTTGGAAGGAACTGTTTCTGATCATCTTCTTGTAGCTTACTAACACACATGTCATCATATCAGGTTTTTAAAATTCTGCCATCAAATCCTTACCTTGTCATTTAACCTTCAGATTTTGTACTTGTTTGCTTTATTTAATTATGATCTTATATGCTTGTCTCATCTACTTCCCAAGGCAAGATGACATGACCATCACTTGGGTTTACCTTAATTGATCTTATTTATGGTTGATCTCTTTGTATACAGATTAGACTCATATATCTCTATATGGATTAAACTACTCTGATCTACACTAATTGTAAATTAAAATAAGATATATTCAGTCCAACAATCAGTGTTAACCAACATTTACAATGTGACCATCATTGCTGAGGGATGTGTAGCCTTTGACCCTGAAATTTACATGTCTGTCTTTGCATGCTTTTTACTTAGTCATGATGTAAAGATTTAACTTTCAATTCAAGTTCCCTCTTTGAGAGTGATCAACAGTATTGTTTTTTTAGTGGTATATTATAAATTATTTATATTTAATATTTTACAGATTTCAAAGTTAAGGAGATCATTCAAATGACAGAGGTTTTGGTCCATCTTGGTTTGTCTCAACAGTTAATCTTTTGGAAAGCAGTGTTGGAGAAAATATCAGCAACATGTGAAGACTGTGATTTAGTTTCATATGATATGACTAAAGAAAGTTAATATTTTTGATTCCATGGTTGTATGAACAAATGCTTTGAACTTTCCAAACATCATTGAAAAAGAAAATATGATGACCAAACAAAAATACATATTTGAACTTTCCACGAGTTTACAATGAAGAACATTTTGGGATCTTGATACAGGATATTATTGTGTTTAGTGTTTTAGTGTTTTATCTAACCCATGCTAAGAACACAGGTCTCAAATATCTTAGAGAGTTATATTAGAGTTATATTGTTAGAATTGAAGCTTATTTATAAAATTATACCTTATATCTTTAAAGAAAGTTTCACAAAAAAATAGTCAAACTTGCATATACTGGTTAACATGTTAAAAGAAATATAATATCCTGGAAGTGATTAAGAATAAAAAAAAAAGTTCATTTATCATCCTTTTCTTTTGTTCTTCTTGGTGACTTTTTTTACAATAATCAAAGACATTTACATTTTAGCTCATCTGAGCAGAGGCTCTGTTGAACTTTTTCTGATCAAAGAGTCTCTGGTGTCTGTCCATCTGTCATCCATAAAAATTAAACCCTAAAATAGGAGTATCAAAGTTTGACATGGGAATAGATAGGAAAAAATTGTCCTTTAATGAACATCAAGGTAATGATTTACTCATAATGTATGCAAGCATCCTCAAGAAGTGAAGATTCAAGTTGGTCAAAATCATTTGCCTGACTTATTATTATAATAATATTAAAATATTCCCTATTTGTATTTTTTTTTCATTTTTTTTCTTCAAATAAATCTGAGATCAGATTTTACATATAAATTGGTAAATGCATGTATAAATGTGAAAAAAAACTTTAGAAAACATATAAGCCATGTTAGCCATATTGATAATGAAATATCCTCTTGTTGTGGAATCAGTTTTGGATTAGACATGGCCTTATGGCCCAGGGTGGGGCCACAGTATTAGCTCAGATTTGTTTTTATGAGAATTAAGGGGGATAAGAATGTCTTAGAAATCTGAAGAACACCAAGGTGACTCAAGTGAATGTTGTGGGCCAGGCCTCTTATTTAAATTGCCCACTTCCATTATCCCTGCAGATTTTTAACATCTTATTTGGCATACTTTTTAAGGAGAAAATCATTTTTCTAACATTAATTTCCCTGTGTTTTGTACACACCATAGAGTAATATTTTAGATACATCTGGGCTTTCATATAAAGTGCTATTTTTAGATCAAAAGTGAGTCTCTTTAATTCTATTTTTAACACATTGCCATGTGGTTGGGACTACTTTCATGGCTAACATTTTCTTGTTTAACTAACAAGTATGCATTTAAAGAAATGTACCTATTGTAGTGAGTTTACATTTAAATCAAAGGTTCTTCACAAATAGTTGTAGCCACTTAATTGTTTTAACTATTTCATATTTTTTTGGATTTTTTGGTGCACTACTAAAACCTGTGGCTGCGCAGTCCTGCAGGTGTATTGTGCACTTCATAGCTGCAAACTGCTGCAAGTGTCAATTAAGCTGCATATACCCAGAGATTGTTTTCATTATGAAGATGACATGGACCAGTTTTCAAGTGTAAGCAAGGCTTAATTTTTGAGATTTTAAGGTTTTTATTTTTAGTGAGTCTCACTTGGCTGCACACAAAACCAAACCCTTAATGTAAACAGATAAACATTCTAAAACTGTGACCTAGAATTGTTTTTTCTTGGTCTTGTTTAACCCATGATCCTTTACAGAAAAAAATGGAACATTATCCCCAATTTATCAAGTTACTTATCTAAAATACATATTTAGCGTAGTTTTTCCTGACTTTCGTCAGTTTCAATGTTCCACAATGTATGCTGAAAACAGATGGAAAACGTAAACAAACCTGCACTGCAGTGCATGCCAATTGCCAGCCCGGGAGCTCGAGCAGTTTTCCAAGCAATAACCTCCTTAAATCTACCGGTAGATGAAAAGGTATTAAATCAACTGATCACTGGTTGCATATTTTCGTCAAAAATACCAGAAAATTCGATGAGACCCGCTCAACTTGATTTGAAATGATTGGCTATTCAACCGAATACACAATTTGGGTTACTGTTAAAAGTAAATCGTTCGTTTTGTATTCGAGAAGACTTGAATGAAGAGGATTACACAATACTGAGGTGGAAAACATCGGTATAATATGATAATATATATTTCAGTATTTTAAAGTAAAGTTTGTCAAATGAACGGGACATATTACTGATATTACCTCTTATAAACAAAACCAATAAGCGTATGACTTATTCAGGGCACTTGCAATGTATGGGAACCAGTCTACAAGGCCACAAAATTCCGCCAAGAATAGGGCCTGTAAGTCTCGTTTACTTTCACTTTCGTTTTTAAACTTCCGGGTACCTGAGCGTTCTTGGAGACAATGGATTACTGTTTCGCTTTAAGTTGTAAGCATCGCAGTGGAATTATAAAACTTGTAGTTTGTTTTGATTCCCGATTGTTGCAAAGAAGAGGAGAAAATGGATCGATAGATGCAGGTAAATAGCGTTTAATTGCTTTATTTTTTCATTACATGACGTAAACACAAGCCATTCTGAGCGGACCAAGATTAGCCAACATACTTAAGCATAAAGGGAAAATTAAATCGTTTTAATGCTAAAATAGTCTGTATTCAAAAGGTAAGCTTATCTACAGATTGGTTTCAGAAATTTATTGCATTGATTTAGCTTACAAGGGTCTATTTTGGAGTATTGGACAGGTGTGCATGAGATCGGGAATGCATCGACCATGGGAATACAAAGTTGATTACCACGTCGATAACACATGATCCTTGTAGAGAACACATTCTATTTTTTTATTACTACAATGAATAAAAATGGACAGCTCATTCTGTAGTCTACCTGTCTACATGGTCTATCCAGAAATAAAAATAGTCACACACACTAAAAAAAAAAATCATTTTTTATTCTACAAAAAAGAAGGTATTTTTTTCATGTACACATATTAACTGCCAAGCTTCATGACACCCTTCCCCCCTTTCCAATACTCCTACAATTATGACAGATATATTTTTCTTGAAATAGAATTTTTCTCCATATGTCATTATATATTACAGGGCTGCACAAGGTACTGAAAAAGGGACAGTGCTTTGAGTGAATGTGTTATCCATGTATCTGCAAATGAAGCAGATCCCAGTTATTATACTCGTAATCAGTGTGACAACTTCCAAGAAGGCTCCATCTAAATCAGGTACAGGTCAAAGTTTTGGCTGCACATTTCTTTTACAATATTCAAAACATAATAATTCAGGATCAAGTTCACACAAGCTCACATACCATGGTTACTCTCAGCACCATAATGCTAGTTAAATTTTTCATATACTTTCCTGTTAAATAGTCAAATTTGGTTTAAAAACATTTGTTAACAAGTACTATTACCCTACTGCATGCCAAACATTACATCCCAATGGTTGAAAATGCATGACTAAGGGTAACAGTATATTTAAGGAATAACTGTCTAATTTTTTGGTTTCATGATGTGATCAATCGAGTGGCTTGCGTGATAATTTGCATAAACGCCGAGGGCGTTTATGCATAAAATTATCATGCAAGCCAATCGATTGATCATCGTCATGAAACCAAAAAATATGACAGTTATTCCTTATATATACATGCTCTTGATCCTGCAAATTCACGTGCTTCAAGCCCCGCTTCTGTCTCTATTTGTCCCGCTCCACACGTGATATTTTTTTTCACCATGCCTATGGATGAACCAGTAGATCGATGTAGAAATAAAGTATTTTTACCATTTGAAATTTTATCTCGGACAAAGACATTGGAAATGTAAATATATAGTAACAAAGATTGTTGGCTGTGCAGAATGTTTGCACGTTCGTTTTACCTTGATGTTTTCTTTCAAATGCATTCTAAAACAAGAAAAATATTATTTGTTTAATTTGGGTAATGTGAAATTGTTACCCCTTGAAAACCATTGTTTGCCTCGGTCAGCGATGGTTTTTGAGGAATAACAATTTCATGTTATCCTAATAAACATGTCATATTTTTATGTTATATGTACTTATATTTGTGAATATTTATGACTGCGAAAAACATAAATATTTATAAATTAGTAAAATCAATTTAATACACTATAAATACACAAAAGGACAAATTTGTATATAATTCTCTATGATTTGGTTAATTAGTTTATATAAAGGATGTAAATGGGGCATGACATATCATTGTTAATATTCAAGAAAGTGTTCACTGTTTTTCTTGTAGATGCTCCTTTCCATCTGATGTTTTCCAGGTTTTTGTGAAAAGTTTTCTTAAAAATGGCACCATTCAACTACAAATACTATGCCGGTGGAACTGTGACATCAATCAACTGCTCAGGACACTGCTAACTGCCAGAGAATTTTTTTTTTTTTGTTTCATTTGGGACAAACATTTTACACCTGCAAGTTGGTACTTCATGAAATGCTTGAAGGATGTTACATGTAAAGGCTACTGAAATTCCAAGTCAGATGAAGTGCAAAAGGATTGATACAAAAGTTATAAAATTGTGAAGTTTTCTATTCTAAGTGACGAGTGCGACTGAAGTTTTTAAGGATGCCCCATCTGCAGACAACTCGTTAAGGCAGTGATATAAGTAGCTCCAAATGATGCTTTATTGTTTTCCTCAGATTTATAACCTGGATAGATCTCTGATGCAGTAATGTCTTTTCACTGTCTCAAAGTACTGAAATAAAAATAATTTTGATTAAAATATTTTTTTTTAATTCATAACATTAAATTTTTAAGCTACAGAAATTCAAATTAATTAGCTATTGGTAAATAGAAATCTTTAATTGATGAGCAAGCCTTTGCATTGTCAGATCCTTTTCTGAAAGGGTCACTTACCTTTAACAATGTCAAGACAGGTGAGGCAACTAGCTGGTCTTCATGCTGGAAGTACCATCCAGTGATGTCCAAAGATTGCCAGATGAGCAGACATATACCTATATTTAAGAAAAGATTCTGTAATATGACATAGAATTTTTGCACAGCTTGACACACAACTGATGGTAATTTAGGTGCCTGCAAAATATGTTATAAATCTGGCATTTATTTTTTTATTAAATACAAATCAGAACAAAATTTGTCCTTTTACAGAACAAATTATTTTCATTATAAAGAATATACTGTGTTAATACATAAATACATATAACCTGTATTATTGGGTATTTTCACCCCATTTTAATTTTTAATATATTCACTCTTTCACTCTTGAAAACAATTTTGCCCTTTTAAAATTTGACGAAGCACATTTGTGTTTAAAAGATATATGCTGCCTTCTTTGAATTTGCCCCGCTTTAAATTCACCTACTTGTAATGAGGGCCGAATGAGAAAAATAAAACTTAACTGGGGCGAAGAATTCCAAGAACAAAATACTTGCCTACCTGTTTCACTATGACTCATCCAGCTTTACAATATTCTGTAATACCATTGCTTTCATGTGATACCCCCCAGTGGATTGGTGGTCTCTTTTCCAAATTATATGCATTTTCTAAAAAGAAGAATTTGTCAAGTTATAAAATTTAGTATTACAAGTTATTAAAGACAGTAAAACAATGTAAACAACATTTATATGCAAATGAACCTCATTTAATACAATAGAGTGAATAGAGGAATGAATGCAAAATTGTACTTATGTGTTAAAGACTATATTGTTCTTTGACATTATTGTTAGCCTAATTTTTAAATACAATTTTAGTGTTATAAATGATTCAGATGCATAGAAAAAAAGTTTTGTTTTTTTACACTTTGATGTTTCTTGAGAGATATATCATATACATCGCTGACATGTTGGTTATATGCATATGTGACATTTGTGAATATTGATTAGACCCTCATTGATCAACACCTTAGATGCACAAGTACCCTTTTGCCCGAGCCAAATGCATCAGGTTATAACATATTCAGGTGTAACAACATTACACCAATACTGTGTAATGAACCTTGATTTCTCAGTAGAAAACCACTATGCTACTGTGCTTTTTTATTTTAAAAAATACAAGTTATAAAAAAAAACAAGTACAAACAAGTACACAAAACTGCATGGTTTCATAGATTTCTTTCTTCTCAGCATAGATCTATACTAATTACAACTACATCACCCTCACAAGAAATGACAATTCATTCAAGTTATGGGGGTCCAATATTTGTCAGTGTCATGTTAATTAAGAAAAAAAAGCATCTACTGGATCAAGAAAAAGTGTCCAAATCATAAAGGACTTCAAAAATCTTACATCTCCCAACAAAAAAAGTCCAGAAATGCTTGAATACAGTATAGATAAATGATGGGTGAATGTGTAAAAACCTGTGGGAGAAAAGTTAAGCACCACTGGACAAATCACTTATAAATGATTGACAACTTGTATTGAATATATTGAATACCCTTTTGACAATTGGAAACTCAGCATTAATAATATTCCATACTTGATTGAGTTGTCACCTGACGTACCTATAATTCGTTACTATTTTTGATATATGCTTTATGTGTATTATCAGAGTAAACGTAAGTCCAAGAACTTATTTTGTTACATTATTTCATACCTGTATTTGATTTGCCTTTTGAGGATACAGATTAATCAAATCGATGTACATGTAGTCTTCGGTGCTGCAGTTCTCTTGTACTTTAGCTATAAAATGAATCTTAATGTATACAATTGTGTAAGATGAAAGAATATTTCAAACACTGAAACAGACCGAAACCTTAACAGACTGAAACTTTAACCAAAATCTCCTCTATAACATGCTCTCTAAACTGAAGAATATGGTCATATTGTTGCAGTCATGTGAATTTTGTTCAATGATAAATACAGAGAGAATTGGCAGAATATATAAAGAAAATCTATCCTTGGGAAATATGTTCTTTCAAACATTGAATGCTTAAGACTAGACTCACTGGCACGCAACAGCTAAAATTCTGTCGATAAATGAAGGGTATTCTGAACAAATTATTTACCGAAACAAAGGTGATGCAGTCACAAGATGACGTTCGTACCCATCGGGCACTTACACTATTCCTCTTTTATCAGATGGTATTAACATCATTGTTCTCGAATTCAAGAAAAATCTGTTAATAAATTAATTGGAATGATGATTACAAAACTATTCCATCCAGGTATGATACAAGACACTTCGATTTTCCCCAAGAATACACAAGAAACAGGTGACATTCTCCGACTTGTTTACCTGTACTTCGATCGAAATTCTCCTCCTGGATGCTCGCATCCAAGCTTTTATGACACTCAATTCATCCATCGTACGTCGGAGAACCCTTCGGCTTTGTACAACTGCTTAATCTTTCCTTGTACGCTTTGTGTAAACCATAAACATGTGTAACCCAATACATCTCCATGAGTGAGGTACCCGGAAGTTAATATTATCGAAAAATCTCGCGAGTCACGTGACGAGACTTACAGACCCTATAAACAAAGAAATTGCGGGATGTTGTTTACGTGTGTCACTCGACACTGACTGCAAGGTAATGAAAATGTGCTTAATTGTTGTGTATAACTGTTTTCTGTCTTTCAAGATATTGAACAACAGTCGTTTAACATTTCAGACGTAACATCTGGGGGGGGGGGGGGGGGGGGAGGGGTCACCTCTTAATTTATTGCATCTACTACCACTGTGTATAGTGTCAAGATATAATAAATTAAAATGAAAAAAATCATTAATTTTTTTTTTTATATAGATTTAGGACAGCTAAATAAAGGGGCGACTTTTTTTTGTTTGATGCGGGGGGGGGGGTGTTAAAAATATATTAACCTCAAAAATGTTTAAAAGATATAATCTCATCTCAACTGAAAAAATGATTAATAATCTTTCCTTGTCTGATGCCATTATTTCCTTTACCTCACTGAATTAAGAGTTTCTGAGTCAGTTTATTTCCTTTTGTAGTGGAGATAGGGGGAGGGGGGATCAAACTTTGTTCATTTGAGATAAACATGAATAATATGTCCCTGATTATTAAGGAAATCAAATATTCTATTCATCACTGGTTGGAAAATAATTAATCTGATTTAACAGTCAAAAAATTACCTTTTCATAATTTATCTTTTGTAGAAACAAAGAGTGGAGAGCTAATGCATGGTGCGAAGTATGGAAAGGTCTCTTGTGGATTGGTTGTGCCAGAGACAAATGTACATTATTTCTATGTTGGGTAATGTCCTTAAGAATGGAAGTTTTTTTCAATTACAAGGGACATGACTTTTTCATATGTTATCACTGTACAGAGATCAAAATATTTTTAAACATTGTTAGGTACTCACCACATTATTCCATCTTTAGAAAAGTATTTAAAATTATTTTCTCACATTTTTTAAAGAGACCAATATTGTAAAGAGATTTTTTTTTATTTTAATCTTGAATTTGGATATTATACAGGTCAGAAGTTTCGGTACACTCTGGGTGAGTGGCAGTTGGGAAGATGGATGACCTTCAGATAGTTTGAGATAAAGAAGTTTTTTTAAATGATTGAAAGTGATCATCACAGAATCAACTCCATTATGAAGATAAATTACGAGCAAGTCAGGTGAGGAATTGACTTCAATGTGTTATCACATTGTGTAAATGAATCTTCATTATTAAGATCTTTTACATTTCATTTTTATATATGAACTTGCTTTTCTATTATTCTAAAATTCCAAAAATAAAATTAAAGTAGTTAAAGCATGCTACAAACATATTAAGTATCTTGGCAAGTTTTCAGGGATATTGCAGATGTGCTTTAATTTAAAAAGATAACTAATTTATGCAAAGCTGGAAAAGAAATGGATATTATTATCTCTAATTTCGAAGATTATGTTTATTATTAGCACTCCTTTTGTCCAACACCCGAGAGATCTGAGTATCCATCCTACTGTTGAATTAACTGGTGACCAAGAAAAGATGACAGAGAGGGGAATCAAATATGGATGCCATCGTGATCAAGAATATACACACTGACTAGAAAATATCTGAAAATTTATAGACGAACATTCAAGCATTTATAATAATGAAAGTTATTCAGCAAGAGAGTTTTTGCACAAGTTTAATTTCAGTAAAATTGTGTATATTGTGCACAGAGGAACTTAGTATGTAACTCATTATGATTATCCATTTCTTTAGAGGATGTATTCGGAGTATATTTAAATAATCATTATCTTGTAGAAAAGAGCACACAAAACTTTTCTCTCTGTGTGAAGCAAGACACATATGCATACACTCCAGCATTAACCACAACCAATGTTACATATTTTCCAGGGCATGTGAAGTCGAGCACACACAACATCTACCACAACACCAGTTACATATTTTCCAAGGCGTGTGAAGTCGAGCACATACATGAAAATGTGTGAAGCTGGAAACATATGCAAACACACAAGCAACCACCACAACCAATTACATATTTTCCAAGGCGTGTGAAGTCGAGCACATACATGAAAATGTGTGAAGCTGGACACATATGCAAACACACAAGCATCCACCACAACCAATTACATATTTTCCAAGGCGTGTGAAGTCGAGCACATACATGAAAATGTGTGAAGCTGGACACATATGCAAACATACAACATGTGCCACAACACCAGTTACATATTTTCCAAGGCGTGTGAAGTCGAGCACATACATGAAAATGTGTGAAGCTGGACACATACGCAAGCACTCAAGCATCTACCACAACCAGTTACATATTTTCCAAGGCGTGTGAAGATGGACACAATGCAAACATAATCTCCTACCACAGACACAATGCACATATAACATTTAATCCAAAGTATAAAGTCAAGCTCAAACCGGCTCACTGCGTGAAGCTGGACACATGCATTTACTTATGCATCTTGCAAAACTACCTCTGAAGCTATATTCTAATAGATGTTTAAGCAATTTTGTTTCTTTATTTTGTGAATATGTAAATTACACCATTATGCTTACAAGATGTCAACATTATTAACCTGTACATAAATACTCATTAGATAGCCTTTAATAGTTTAAATTGGAAATACTAGTACTTTGCCATATTTATGTTGCGTAGTTTCTCATCAGTGATCTTGAGTAATAACTGAGTAAGGCATTTTTAGTTCCATTTAAACTGCGAAGTTTTGACACATGTACATGCACCACAAAGGATGAATAATATTGTATTGTATTTTAACCTTTTTTATTTTATTCTTTGTCATTTTATTGCCTGTTCTAGTAAAAGATGTAATCTTGTAATGTTTGTAACTGTTTTTGGTAGATATTTATAAAGCAGAAATTATAACAGAAAAGGTTCCAATATATCTAAACTAAAAGCAAATAAAAAAGAGCTCTCCATCTATCAGATACCAGCAAATCAGATAACTTAAAGGTTAAGTCATAGGAAATTTGAAAGTTTATTATATCTATATTCTGATATCTGATACCATTTTTACATTTTTGATTGTCCGTCTACAGTATACAAAAATAGTATAAATTTTTACATTTTGTAGATGACAATCTCTAATACTAAATACAACTGGAAATTGATATAACGCTTGAAAATTTGTGTATTTTTAGTAAGATCGATTTTAACAAAATGGGGGGGGGGGGGGTAACACAATAGACGCATCAGATACCTATTTATTAAAAGTCAAAAACCATTTGTTGAAATCTTAAGTACGAGTGTATTAAACAGAAGCCAGTATTCAAGTAAGGATTTTAAAAAGTTTCATTATATATATATATATATATATATATATATATATATATATATATATATATATATATATATATAAACTTTAATGCAGCATTAAAGGTGAAAGGTTAAATTTAATTACCTTTTCGTGTAAGTAAAGGTTACCTTTTCATCTTTACTTTTTGTAAAGTTAATACAAAGATGACCTTGCTTTTTGGAGCACCTTTAATGAGATTTACTTTGCAAGTAAAGTTTTGTAAAGGTGTTTTTTCAAGCAGTGACAGATCTGTAGTACACAGAATTTTTTTTTGATGTTTATCCCTCTCCTCCACATGAAAAAACGTTGCTACAGGCCTGTATCAAGCTATATTTGGATTGCTGTCTATCAAATTATTTTGCGAACCTTGATGCACAAAACTGGTAAACATGGTAAAGACTACCTTTTAAAACTTAGTAGTTGAATTGTTTTTAATTCAACATGTTCAAGCTGTTATGCTATCTATATAAGTTCATCCTACTTATTTAAAATGCTTGTACTATAGAATTTAGTTTGTATATAAAGATATATGTATAAAAGAGAAATTCAGATTTTGGTTACGCCAAAGAATACATAAATACGAAGTGGAGAGTTCTAGAACGAGGTTTTCCAATGATTGGTGTCGCCCGCGTGGCGCAGTGGTTAGAGCGTCTGCTCTAGAGTCGCGAAGTAAGGAGTTGATCCTTACGTCGCGGGTTCGAATCCCACTGTGGGACGTGGAGACCGGTCCTTCGGATGAGACCGTATAAACCGAGGTCCCGTGTCGCAGTAGGTGCTGGCACGAAAAAGATCCCTCACTGCTCAAAGGCCGTAAGTGCCGAGTATAGGACAAAATTTGCAGCTCTCCACCGGCAAGTGGTGGCGTCTCCATATGAGTGAAAAATTCTCGAGAGGGACGTTAAACAACATACAATCAATCAATCCAATGATTGGTATATTCTAATTCGAAAAGGGTGAATTGTTCTAAGGGCAAGTTGTCTTAGAGGCGAACTCTCTAGCATTTTTGCGCATGCGTAGCCTGACGTAAGCCCATGGCATCCGGATTAATCCCGCTTATATATTTTCTGCGTGGACCTTAGGGTCCACGCAGTAAGGGTTTAATCAGGAGAGTAGGCAGGTCTGCACACCTGTATATGTCCAGTTACATTTAACAGCCATTTAAACATAAGGATAACCTTAAGCATATGAGTTTTTCTTGATGACTTTTTTTTTAATCCTATATAGGTTGATTTTTTTTTCAAAATATTACATGCTTACGTGTATATGATATCAAATGTTGACATTTAGTAGTTTAAGTTTTTTATGGATAGAACACCGTTAGTTACATTTCTGTGGTTATTAAACATTGCAGTCATTACAAATTTTACGGTATTAAAAAAAAACTTTATAAGCTGTTACAGTAACATATATAATTACAATTGATTCTTAATTTATTTTGAATGAATTACTTTTTTTCAATTAAAAAAGAATAAAGTTTTTGCTAAATTGTATGCGTTTATTATTACCAAAAGACAGTCTTTTTTCCAATTTATTTGTCGGAAACATGTAACAAATGCAAACATAATCATTAAGAACAAAAAGTTGGAATCTACAAATAGACAAATCAGCACCTAAAAGCGATCACTACAGTGCAGTATGATATACACTTCATATATCCTTTCTATACATATGAAGTCACCGTATTATTGTTCACCCAAGGGTTCGCATCACAATGTGTTGAACGATCAAAGGCACGGATCGGCGAGGACCTCCCATTGTCTGGTGGCATAACACCCACGAAATTTTTCTTCCCAAAAGACGGAGCAATAGTAATGGCGTATGTGTTGCTTCTGTAGCACCGCGATCCCGAGAAGCACAACACTTCCCGGCATCCTCTTCTAAAGTTGGCATTGTGAACAAAATAGAGCAATGGTTTGATTATTCCCGTAAGAAAAACTAGCCAGGTGCAAATGCGGAAAATAAAACTGTCCTGGTGTAGAACTTTTAAAAAGCAAAATATAGTGTTTGTGATGTACATTGGAGAAAAAGACAGGAATGTGATCATTGTGATGAACATGAGAAGTTTTACCATATTTACCTTTGTCCGAGACACAATGTTACTTGTCCTTTGGAAGGTGCAACAACCATTTGTTTTCCATATATGAGAAAATACTTTCGAGTACAGAACACAAATGATTATCATGGGAAATATATATTGTAGAAGAATTATTGAAATAATATATAAAACAAATAACAGATTTACGTTCGTGATATTCACGTAAAACCTACAAACAATATCTTGGCCATATAGTTGCTCTTGAAAAACGTATAAACAAATAATACAGTGAATCGATACCGCAATCCAGCTTGCTAGAATCATCCGCTTAGCAGTGCCTCTTCTGATTTTAAAGCTAAGCGGGTAAATAATGGTGTAAAACCTATCTAAGCAGATAGATAGCAGAAGATAAATAATAAGTCCAGGAATTGTGAATTGCACAAAGCGAACAATCCGACATATGGTGTTGGAGAAAACCCAGCTTCCTGCTAGGGCTCGCCCGATAACGAAAGGCATTACAAGAATTGTAAACAAAATGTCTGAAATTGAAAGCGAGGCAACAAAATAGTTCGTTGTTGACTGGACTCGGCGACTTCGTCGAATCACAACGCAGACTAAGATATTGCAAATAATATTTAAAATTGCTAAGATAATGAATCCGAAGACTTCGACTTTTACATTTACTGACCCCATGTTGTTGTCCAACCTCAACTCCGACGTGGTATTCATTTTTCGACTTCATGAAATCAGAAATTCCTTTTTATCTGCAAATAAAAATATACTCTTTTTTGAAGTTGTTACGTCTTGCCTATTCTTCAAATGGCAAAGGTTTCTAAGTACTTTTTATAGGTTCATTTTTCAGTGATAATACTTGAACTATTTTTGTTCGTTTGTTTGTTTGTTTGTATGTTTGTTGTTTTTTTTTTTGAAAATATGCATGTCCATCAATTAAACAAAGATTGATATGACGCTGGGATTTATATTGAAGTTTTTCCTGGCCATGACCCTTGAAGATAAAGTTTTCTAACGAATACATGTGGTGGTATTAATATTAGAATTTCTAGGAGAAAATCAAACTCCCTCTTGTGGCTGTAGAAACAAATGGCAATATGTATGATATTCTGTAAACAGTATTAATCACTGAAGCAAATCTTAGAAAGTCTTTATACATACATAATTCAATTTGTGATCGGAAGGTCGTGTGTTCGAATCATGGCCGCGACTGACCTAAGTCGTTAAAAATGTTCCTTGGACAAGCGCTTGGCACTTTGAAGTGAAAGCTGTGGGTCCTTCGGATGAGACCTTAAAAACCGAGGCCCCCGCAGCATTGTTAAGGCGTACTTCGAAGAAATCAACACAATATAAACGTACATAAATACATACCTTTTTAAAATTAATTTAATTATGTAAAGGTACTATATTATCTTATGACTTTAACATTCTTTGAAATAACATTGTATACCCCGCTGTGTACTGAATTTGGTTTGGTCACGTTATTTGATAGTCACGTGATAAATGCATGTAATGTGTATTGTATGTAGGTCACAAACAAATTTCAATATCGCAAGGGCATACCCTAGTTAAAATTAAAAATTAAAGTAATAGATTGTTTCTACATAACTTGTAGTTTATGGAAAGTGCTGCTGCTTTAAATAGAATTCGCATTTTATTAGTTTAAATTTCAAGTTATCTAGCTAATGTCGAAATATGTATGACCTTTACCAAGTATTTTATGCATTTATTAAGTTATGCTATCGATTTCAAGAAAGCAGCAGCACTTTTCAAGTTAAGGAATATGTCCATTATGTGTATTCAAAAAATGGTCAAGATCTATTAAGTGTATGCCCTTGCGAAAAGGCGATTTAATGAGGCACCTCGGCGTGAAACATGCACACCCTGTAGACAAAAACACGGTAGAATTAATTCAATACATTCTCTCGATATTTTCTAAATAATGGCACTAAACAAACGTTTCAGATTTGTGTTAATGGTCTACCTAAGATTTCCAAATAATATTCTGTTTAATAATAAAATGCATTTTTCACTGTGAAAAAAATTACTTGATCCGCCTCTCACTGCACATAAAATGCGTCAAACTTTACCATGATGACGTCATGTCAACAAGTGCATTGCGATCAGTGATTTGTTTATATCTTGCTGCCTGCGATTTAACTAGCGACAAAAATGAATGCGGTGGTAAGTTTTGATGTAGGTCATTACTCTTATGCAGTTTAGATTCGCAAATTATTTCATTTTCTGTTATTGTGAGGAATTGCTATATTTGTGTGATGTCACAGTAAACTTTTCCCGTATAAATTAGGCCCCGCCCCCTTTATGCAGCCTTAACAGAGCTGCGGGCCGTGTCACGGCAGGCGTTGGCACGATAAAGAACCCTCACTTATGGAACGCCATAGCTGCCTGAAGGTCATTTTCATTTTATATGAGGTGGTATAACCTTTATGTGAAGTGGTTAAGTCATTATATATAGTGATAAAATCATTATATTCAATGAAAACTTTATAATATGCAGTGGTTTTATCTTTATATACAGTGGTAAAATCATTATATACAGTGATAAAATCATTATATTCATTGATGACTTTATTATATGCAGTGGTTTTATCATTATATTCAGTGGCAATGTCATTATATGTAGTGGTTAAATAATGTAATGAAGTGATAGTACCGTTACATTATGCTGTAAAATCATTATATGCAGTGGTTTTTCCATTATATACATTACTGATATCTTTCTGTGATGTGATAAATTCAATATATACAGTACAAACATAATTTGTGTGATAAAGCAATCATTACATTGTATGAAACCCGCTGCATGTGGAGTGCCAAGTTAATTTCATTCAGTGCGACACCTTTACATGAAGTGAAAAATCTATTATGTGCAGTACTAAAATCATTATATTATATAGTAAAATTATTATACATATTCCTAAAATCATACTTTGCAGTGGTATCATCTTTATATGAGGTGGTTAATTAATTATATGATGTTGTTAATTTGTTATATGATGTGCTCAAATCTTTATATGCATTAGACGTTTCATGTTATGCAGTGGTAACTTCTTTATCATCATCTAAACTGGTCCTCTTGCAAAAACATTTTTAAAAAATGCGCGGAGTTCCAGTTTAAAGAGTGTTTGAAAATAGGAAACCCGGGCCGTGGCAAATTAAAAGCCGGGACTATTCGAGATTTTTCAAATTTCTGATTTAAAATTTTCAGACTCTTTTTTTAGGCTAATGTGTTTTCGCTGTAAAAATTGTATTTAAATACTTGCATGGTATTTTAGATTTTCTTTACGATTTTTGGTTTCAAGTAAAATTGGTAGGCAGTTTCAATTTTCTGATTTAATATTTTATCCATTGTGCTATAAGTACTAAGTATTTTAGATTTTTTTTTGACGATTGTTGATTTCCATGTTGGTAAAATGGGTAGACTGGGTTTGCGATATTTTATGTGTGTGTGTGTGTGTTTTTTTTTTTTTTTTTTTTTTTTTTTTTTTTTGACATATTTGATAAAAATCTAATAAACTTAAAAATTATTCCGATGTTAAACACTGTATTTTAACTAAAAAAAACTTTTTCTTTTTGATAGTTATTTCTTTATTTGAAAATGCTATTTTTATGCAAAATACACATTTTCATTAAAAAAGGGATTATTAAACCAGATCCGATCATCCGGGAAGAACCTGGTGCAAAACATCATAAATCATTTCTAATTTCATAATATGCAAATGTGCACTGGTACATGTATCTATATGCTAGAAGATGGAAGGAAACTGGATTACGTTAAATATGTAATTTGTTTAATACTTTTTTCGGGGTGGGGGTGGGGGTGGGGTGTTAAATTACTAATATCAACTATTTATAAGACTGTTTCTAAGACTTCAGAAAACCTTAAATCACATTGAAAAATTGCTGCATGAAAACATTTCATTTTCAAGTTTCATATTTGCCGTCGCCAACGTGGCACGGTGATTAGAGTGTCTGCTCTAAAAGACGCGGAATAAGGAGTCAATCCTTACGTCACGGGTTCGAATCCGACAGTGGGACGTTGAGACCGGTCCTTCGTAAGAGACCGCATAAAGCCATAAACCGAGGTCCCGTTCCACAGAAGGTGTTGGCACGAAAAAAATCCCTCACTGCTCAATGGCCGTAAGTGTCTAGTATAGGACAAAATTTGCAGCTCTCCACTGGCAAATTGTGGCGTCTCCATATGAGTGAAAAATTCTCGAGAGGGACGTTAAACAGCAAACAAACAACCAAATTAAAATCATTTTAGCCTTTTTGAATAAAATTAAGAGTTATCCTTCAAGGCTGAGGATCGGATATCCTTAAACCAAGCAACTTACGCGTGATTAAAGTTTGACACAAGGCTTTGCATTAATAGTCCTATAATTACATGTATATGTGATAATTCTTTAATTAATTTATATTTTATCAAATGGCATGTAGATAATGAATAAGTATTTCGGATTTTTTATGTTTGACTTCCGGGAGATCAAATCCGATTTTAATGAACCATTGGCGTCGGAAGGAAATTGATAGTGGGGTGGCTAATTGAAATAGAAAAAAAATCAAACCTGAAAAAAAACTTGACAAGCAAAAAAAAAGGAAAATTGTTCTTTCTCCAAACCCGAAAATCCTATTTCGGGGGTGTGGGTGGATGGGGGGGTTGGGGGGTTGGTCGAACATCTTTCAGTATCAAATTCTTTTAAACACTACCAATTACCCTTCTTTCACTACAATGAATCGTGCCTGTAGAAAGTGGGGAGGGGGGGGGGGGAGGCTAGACCTAAGCCCGAATTTTCAATGCCTATATTATGTCTACCTTTGTAAAAAAAAAAAAAAGAGGGGGGCAATAGCCCCCTCCCCCCCCCCCCCGGTTCCGACGCCTATGTGAACCGGTTTTTCTTAAACGTGTCATTTCACTCAAAAAATGCCTTTCAAAGAATGAATAATTTTTAACATCAGAATAATTTAAAAGTTTATAAGCTTTCTGTCAAATATGGCAAAAAAAAAAAAAAACAACAACAAACAAACAAAAAACAACAAACAAACAAACAAAACACGTAAAATGTCTACTTGATTGCCTACCCGATTTACCAACCTCACGGGCGGATTCAGAGAGGGCCTATGGGGCCCGCCGCCCCCCCCCCCCCTTTGTGTCCAAAATATACATAAGATTTAATAAATCAATTGTTTTTTGGTTTGGCTGTGGGCTACCTACCCCGACCAAAAACTTGTCGGGCCCTCCTTTTCAAGATTCCTGGATCCACCACTGAACTTGGAAATCAACAATCGCCAAGAAAATCTAAATTACTAAGTATTTTAAAATTAAATGCAATTTTTACAGCGAATACACATTAACCTATAAAAATGAGTCTTAAAATTTCAGCACAGTTGATCAAATCAGGAAGCTGTATAATATAATAGAATCAGAAATTAGAAAAATCTCGAATAGTCCCGGCTTTTAATTTGCCACGGCCCGGGTTTCCTATTTTCAAACACTCTTTAAACTGTGATGATAAAGAAGTTACCACTGCATAACATGAAACGTCTAATGCATATAAAGATTTGAGCACATCATATAACAAATTAACAACATCATATAATTAATTAACCACCTCATATAAAGATGTTACTACTGCAAAGCATGATTTAAGGAATATATATAATAATTTTACTATATAATATAATGATGTTAGTACTGTACATAATAGATTTTTCACTTCATGTAA